AATATTATGTACAGTTTAATAAAAAAACATAAGACTACTTCCTATAATTTTATGATCCCAATTTCTAAATTATTTCACTTACGTCAATTTTGAAAAATTTACAATTAAAATTGCAAGAAAGGATTATTTTAATGTATTTTTTTGTTATATTATATTACGCGCAATGGAACAATTTTATCGTAATTAAAATTAAATATGTTATTTAGACTTAACTTTTAAGAGAAATTTTTGTTAATTATAATTATAATTATTATAAATGAATTATTATTTATGATTAAAAATAAGATTATAACGAAAAAGTTCGGTCATCAAGAATATAAGCACAAATAATATTTTAATTATATTTATTTAAATTTAAAAATTCTTTTTTGATTATTAAATATATTATATATAAATATATGAATCTGTGATACCAAAATTTATTAAATTCAGAATGTATATAGAAATTTTTGCATGTACATATAAAAATTGGCAAAAACTTAAACATCTTTTAAATTTGCGTTATATCTGTTATATTAATTCTATCATTTAAAATTTGACAATTTTGATATCACATTTCATTTTCAGCGATTTAAAAAATCCTCCAATTTGAATAAAAATAATTAAAAATTATTTAGTAACTTCTTCCCCACGTTCACCTATAAATATCTTATTAATCATAGTGAATATAATAAATTCTCTTTAAAAGCCAAGTGTTCTAACAATATATTTAATTTTGGTTGCAATAAAACTTCTCCAACACATACGTAGTTATAAAATACTATAAAATAATTCTTGCAAGTTCTCAAAACTGTGACATGAAGCGATTTAAAATTATAGTCTATGTCAGAAAACACTATGATCACTATAAAAAATGACTAGTCATCGTGATCGAAAAAGAAATATATTTATTATCTATTTTTTATCAAACTGTGTAATCATCGAATGTGGACTTGCAAAAAGAAACACACAGACGCGGCGTATATTTTTCTTTCGAAACGTATACCACAGTCGGTCCCCGGAGATCGTCGTACTACACGGCAAGAGTATCGCGATCGGTTTTAATCAAACACAAGGAGTCTCCTGAATCGTGACGAGGAGAGCGCCGAAGAGCGGGATCCTAGCGGGAGGATTCGCCGAGTCCCTCGACGGAGTAGGTATTTGCTTTGAGCGGAGTTCGAACGGTTTACGATGTAAACTTGTTAGATGTGAGACTCCGGGTGCGCTCTTGCGGCCCGGTCTTAATCCCGGAAGATATCGTCCGGTATCCGCGGATTAAAATCCGCACTTTAGTGCCTTCCCCGGCTTCGCCCCGGTTGTCGCCGAGCTTGAGGGTGGGATGCGATGCGTCGTTCTGTACCAGGGGAAGTCCGAATATAGTCCGAGCACTTAAAGTCAACGCCAGGGGCGCGCTACCAAGATCTTACCATCTTCCGCCTTTCCCTTTCCCCCTCCACCCCCGTTTCCCGTTCCCCCTTATTCCGTTCAACCGCCTCACCGACCTCTCGCTCGAGTCCCTAAGTACTCATGCAAACGAGCGGCTGAGCTTACGAATTAAGTGGAACCGCCGCATCGTTATAGCGCACCGTCTGCTCTCTGAAAAATGCTCACCGTCGAATTAAGCGTACAGCACTCTGGCACAAAAGGACCGAGTCTGTGTTCCTCTCTTTCTCTCTCTCTCTCTCTCTTTTTTTCCCTTCTTTTTCTTCCGGGAGAGTTTTCTCAAAGCAGTGAGATTGCCTGATTTGTATAATTAGCGAGGCTCACAAGGACGAAAAAAATATAGTTCACTGTGCGTGAGAAACAAACTCTTCTAATAAAGTTCGCGTTTATATAAAAAATATTTCAAGCCGTTGCTATGTTTATTTTAAGCTTTGAGTTGTCGGTAGAAGCATTGATTTGTGAATCAATAAAAATGTTATTAATTAAAGTCATAATAAGATTTCGAAAATTAATGAAAATATTTTGTTTTTCCATCTTTGTTTTATTGTTTATGGATTCTGGTGAAAAGCCATTAACGGATTTTTTGAGATTTCATACTTATAATTGATATCAATGCTTATCAGCGATATCAATGATTTATTTAAGAGAATATCGAATCAAAATATTGGCATTCGAATAGAATTTCTAACTTGTTTAATTTTTATTATGCGAAAAAACAATCGATATGTCAGTGCTTTTATAATTCAATAGGATTAAAATATTATTAAGGTTAATTAAAAAAAACGTGCAGAATATACGTATTATAAATACTGGAATTTTTCGCATTTATAAATCCATGGAAATAAAATCGTAAAAAGATCTCTTTTATCTCTTGAATTTATTTATTGAGCCTGTGAAAAAGCCATAAACTCTCATGCAGAATCTAATAAACATAATAAAATTAATTTCGAGAGACGAAGCGGCAATATGATTCGACCAGACGGTGTTGTGCGCGATAAAAAGAAACGGAACGAACAGAGAGGGAGGGAATAGGGGCTCGCGGGGGCGACAACGATGAGAATCGGAAGCAACGAGACGGTTAAAACGCAATCAGGATTGGCGGGCATCGTGAATAACAATGATATGGAACTAATCTAAGCGAGAGGCTGTTCCCGCGTCGTGTGCTATGTGCTTTCTGACTGGAGATCAGGTTGCAATTTTAAGTGCCGCACCGATGTTGCATCGGACCTGATTAAATTGCGTTTCCGGCGTCGTACGCCACCGTGAATAACAATGAAACGATGGCATTCGGATGGCACATTTTTTCCCCGCAATCCCTCGAGGTTTCGAGGAATCGCTACCGTCCATTTTTCCGGCGATTTTCGTTTGATTACGCCGCGCGTATGTAGATAAAAAAAAGTTTTTCCCAGAAACGATTTCATATTCCGCACGATATCATATCGATAAAGAAATATAAATATTGATCGCAAAATCTATATAAAATATAAGATATATTTCGAATTCAGTATGTTATTAAAATTAAGATTGACTTTCGCAAATAGAAATATTTATGTGATTTACAATAAAATAAACCACCGTTTTTTTTTTTATTTTCGATAGTCGATAGAATTTTTGTAATTCTAATAGCATTTTTTTAGGGACATATCGCGTCCCAATAGTGAGAGAATTTATGAAAGACATATATACTCGTAAATAAAGTTTTCATAGGTAAAGTAAAATTTTTTATTATTTTGAAAATTTGTACTTTTCCATTAATTTTATCAATTTTGCTTCCAAATGAATTTCCGTGATTCACAGTTAAAGCTACAAAAGATAGATTCCGTCAATCTTTTTTCTTTGATACAACTAATAAAATAATTTCAAAATTTATATTAGTAAAAAAGAAAGTTTACTTCAATTAATTAATTTAATTGAAAAAAATTTTCAGTACTTTTTCTCACATTTTTCATTTTTAAATTACAAACACAGGTGCGTTATATTAAAATTATAACTTACTGCAAATTATGATTCAAGCAGTTTTTTAATTAAATAAAAATTTGGAAAAATATTATCTAAAAAGTTGTTTATCTCTTATACAAAGGAATAATATTGCATATTTTACATCTCTCGGTAAAATAATTAATTTGTAAATTATTTTTTATGACATACAAATCTACAAATTGCTTTCAGACGTATAATTCGGCGATCGGAAAATTTGAATCAAAATTCGTAATATTATCTATGAAAACTCATTTTAGAGAGAAAGAAAGCGAGAGAGAGAGAGAAAGCTGAATGTACATTCTCAATAAGTATGAAACGAAGGGAGATTGTGCAGAGACCGACACTATTTCCCGTAAGAGGAATTATTTCCGTCTGTATCCGGTGCAAACTACGTTTAGCCACCGTTACACGATTCTCTTTTGATCACGTCGTCAATTTGTGTTCTACAACTCCAGCCAGGTAATATACAAATATTGGCGCGATAATCAGCAATACCAAGCTATATACATATCGCAATAAAATATCGATACATCCGTGCATCAAATCAAGTTATTTTTCCCTTTAACATATTATTTCAAAAACTAGGAAAGTCGAAGCACAAAATAACGACTATTGATACTTAATATAATATAATAATAAAATAATATAATATTTTATTAATAATATAATAAAACATAAAATATAATATAATATAAATATAATAAAATATAAAATATAAAAAATATATAATATAATAAGATATAAAATCGAAATAATTATCGAAAAAACTACACATGTATTATATTATATGTACATATTATCAGTTAAAAAAAATTTGTGTTAAATGGCAATATAAACAAAATATTTTGCCGTATTACAATCGCCAATTGTTTTTCTCAACAACTTTGATAACCGAAATTGTAGGTAAAACGCAATTTACGTTAAACCTGTTAATAATCTCTCTCTCTCTCTCTCTCTCTCTCTCTCTCTCTCTCTCTCTCTCTTTACAAAAAATAAGACACATTGCTTAAATACTTTAAAACAATACAGGAAGCAAAAATGTATTTTGTGTGCAACACACTGTGTTTACTTTCGCGCACATTTTATTTCGATATCAAAAGAGAGCTGGGAACGTTTTGCGAGCCCGCTATGTAATTTCGTTTTTAATTTTTCAATCACTTTGATCGCGATTCTCTACCTGTATATTTCGACGTATTTATTGCCTTTCCCTCTCCCGTTTCCGCGGTGCGGCTAGCGAGCTATAACTTCCGGTTATCGAGCTAGCGGCCTCGAAAGACCTTCGAAGTCTCTCTTCTAGTTTTTGTTTGGCATACCGCACGGAAAACTCGGGGGTATCGGCTAATTTAAAAGTTCTCGGAGAGAACTCGTCTACCGCTTAGTAGCCTCGGCAAAGCCCGTTGCACCGTGTATACGAACTCCTCTCGCGCTCGTCATCCCTCGTTTTTTCGACCCTCTAAATGATAGGTACGAGAAATACGTGTAAAGAACTTTTACGGAAAGTAATCAATTGTGAGACGAGCTAGATTAAAACTATCAGCCCCGCACAGGTAACATATTATGAAACTTTAAGTAAGTTGGAGGTCTTGCGTTTGTTGCAGGTAAACCGCAGCCCATGGTTAGATGGCTCGTAAATGGCCGGGTGAAAGACGAGGAATACGAACATAATGCTGGCGATGTAATCGAGAACAGGTACAATTTCTTCGATGTAGATATTCTCGTGCATAGTTTTTTATATGCGCGAAAAATTGTTTCTTTCTAATTTTATCTGGCACGATTAATTTTATCTGTTTAATTTCTTTCAACAGATTAACGCTACAGCCCATTAGCCGGTCCGATCTCGGCTCGAACTTTACCTGTGAGGCGCGCAATACAGATTTGGTGGACGCGAAGGAAACATCGATTTCTTTGGATCTCAATTGTAAGTGAATTAAATTAAAATTGAATACCTTTTTTTCTCGATTGGAGAAGAGATTTTTCTACAAGAAAATCTGTGGTAAATATTCTTGTGTACGAATTTTCAATAATTTCTCTCGCACAAAAATCGACTTACTTTTATTAAAAGCGCAGTAGACTAATGAAAGCAAAAGGGAAATATATATTCTTATCACGTGGCTAACAAATCAGAGAGGCCTCGCCCCTAAGCCTATCATGTCTCGCATTAACGATAAAATCTACGAGACACCAAAAGTGGGCCAACATCCTTTGCTTCTTCGCCGTTGGATGAGTCGCCTTTACGGGAAGATAAGGCGAGATAAGACGAGAAATATATTAAACCCACTTTCTCAGGGAGGGGAATCCGGCTCGTTCGTCGCCTTTCCCTTTCCCTTTTCTGAGAAAGAGCACGAAGAAGCATGAAAAGCAGACTATTCTCTAGGCTTCGCGAAATTAGAATTCTTCGTTAATTCCCCAGCGCGGGATAAAAGAAGGCGAGGTGTAGAATAGGGATAAGGCCCTAATTTTCGTACTACACCGAAAAATTGGCAAGCGCGTGGAATCTTATCTCGTCGGGTTATCCAACGGTTGCAACAGATTCGAGATACTATAAGGGATTTTCGTGTTCGGCGTCGTTTCCACCCGTGACCCTCGATTATTCAATTGTCGGCCCTTGATTCGATTACACTGTTATCAATCACCATTCTCGTAAGGATTCTATCATTCTCATTCACTTTTTTATGGCGCGTGTTATGGAAGCAGAATTTCGCTTTTGCGCAAAAAACATCCATGATCGATACGCATCCAATAATCAGGCTTTTCAAAAATCAGAGATTTTCGTCGAGGCCACTAACGAAATTGAAGGCCAATTATCGACGAGCGAAAAGAGAGAATCCCAGCATGATGAAAAATAAAAAAAAATATAGATTGAAGCGATCAGAGAAAAAAATCGCGATGAAGAGAAGAGGAACGTATCGAGATCTAGTCTGACCTAACGATTCAACGCTCTTTGATTTTTCATTACTTCGGTAAAGTGCCTGCGCAAATTTATTTTCCGTCGTTATTTCATTCTATTAAGTTGCAAAATAAAAGTCGAAACCAGACCGTTTTTCCGTCCAAACAGGAAAATTCTTCTGTGCTTTCATTAGGATCCATCAATCGCGAGATCGCTATATCGACGGACGTATCAGCGCTCATTATCGTTAACTTTGAAGATTAATCAAAGTTAATAAACATTATCAGAGCAAACTCTATTCCTACAATATTTATACGTCCATATTTATTTATTTATTTTTTATTTTATTTTACAGTCTCACGTATGTAGGTTGTTTCAATTTTTAATTTTATAAATATATATTATTCAATATATTTTTTTAAATCAATACGACATTTAAAATTGGACTAACTTATTTTTCCATTAAAAGCCTTCAATCAATTTTATATCAGATTAAATTAAAAAATAGAAGACAGAGAGAGAATTGCTTTTATTAGAATAAATTATTTAATTACGCAAATGGAGTATTAAATATTTATCATTCCTGTCTGCATTGGAAACAAAGATGATAACATAAAGATAATAAATAATAAATTACGACTACTATTATCGGAGCGAAGTGCATCGCAAACAACCGTATGGAAGCTTCCATTCACGCTTTTTCATATTTCACAGACGAACGAATCGTATCTAGTCGACACTGGCGAATTGGAAACCTGAATTTATTGGCCGTCAGCGATCGTCACTTCGCGAGTAAAATTTAGGACATTGCAGTTTTTATCGCGTATACACGCACACGCACACACACGCTCACTCTTTGCATATGCAAAGCTCGATAAAGCGCGAAATTATTAATAATAGATTGGAAAACAATGATTGCGAAAAGTAACAATGTGCTTCGTCGCTACGGGGCGAGAAGAGCGCAAAAAGGACGATACAACATAAAATATTTACACGACTAAATATTCATATCTTGCGCAAAAATATTTGACGAATAAATGCACGTTGGATGCGTCGCACGTTCGCTTGGGCGCGACGTTGAATATATTTGTTTAACTTATGCAATTACTTTCACATTTTGCTCGCGACGCGACGGCTGTATCGATACGACGAAACGAAATGCCGAAGCTTCGTCCAAAAGTGAAGGGCGGCTGCAATCTATCATTTTATAACGTGAGATTCATTTTTTGGCCGATTTGACATGGCCACGACTTTTGCTCACTTTTTTATCCGTCATTTTTATTTTCTTGAGGCAAATTGCAGTCAAAAATTTGTATCCAAAATATAAAATAACAAATATATTTTTATGTTTATATTAGCAGAAATTTTTAAAATGTACCTGATGTCAACAATATTAACATCTTAAATGTTGAAAAGAGAAGCAATTAAATTTTATTAATTATAAAAGATGAAAATTCTCTACAGATTGTGTTCAAGAGAATTAAAATCAGGAAATCTTATATGTGAAAATATTGAATTAATTGTGATAATTTTAATTAATTTAAAATTATTATATAATACAAAGATTATATATATATTTTTAAGAAATGTTTGGCTTTTCGTAAGAAATGGATTCAGCAGAATACGCTGATAAAATCGAGCTCTATATCTGCGCATAATGTAAACAGTATCCTCGGCAGTTATTTCTTTTTTTTTCCAGTGAAACCTCTAGCTGTGATCATAAGAAGACCGGGTAGAAAAGGAATCGGTAACGAGTCCCTCCTAGCGGGGAAGCGATACGACATGGAGTGCGAGACTACTGGTTCAAGGCCACCCGCGGTGATAACCTGGTACAAGGGTCGGAGAAGACAGCTGAAGCACACGACGGTAAGCGAAAGAAATAAGAAAAAGTAACACAGCACTGATCCTCGAGCTGGGAGTAGCCGCTCCTTATCCCTCTCATGGTTTACCGCGTGGCGTGTCCCGTATCTTTTATCTCACGATCCGCACAAAAGCTACCTTCTCTCTCTTCCGTCTCTCTTTCTTCCGGGACCTGTCGCTTTCATTTTTGTTCCGGCACTTTCGTAAAACACCTAGAATACACAGCCGTGGACTCGCGCGCTTCGAGTAATCCCAAAGGCGCGAACTTTATCTCTCGGCTATACGTGCTTCGATTAATCAGGACTTATTTGCTAATAGCATCGCTTATTTTAACGCGATTCGATTTGTACGTAATTCCCGTGGCGCGCAGAGACACGTAATTAACGGGTGAGCTGCGCTTATTATCCTCGAGTCGGGTCATCGTCGTTAATTAATCGCCAGCCAGGAGTTTAAAAAAAAAAGTCTGGATATAACGCGATGGCGTGTTATCCAGATTTCGTTGAGTTGTTTCCAACTTTCATTTATAAAGCTTAGGAAATTTGTGTCTTTTAACTGTATTTTCTCGCGAATTTTCTCGGAAAATTGTACAAACGGATTCGTTGCGAGCTCTTTCCGCGTTATAAAAAGTCTATCGATTGAATTGGAAATTGCATGAATTCGAGATTTCAATTAGTCGCATACGTATTATTTTTACACTCAATGCCTCGGAGAAATTTTGACGAGTTCTACAAATTGTTCCTTGTTATTCACAATAATAGCTCAATAATTGTATACATGTGTATAGATGTCTGCGGAAGGACTATTATCTCAAGAGAGGTCTATCGTTTATAAGAATGGAGAATAGGAATTCTTTCGGCGTAATAGTTGAGGTGACACTTTCGTTTATACGCGGCGTTTCTCTCCTTGAAAAAAAAAATTGGCACTTATTCACGCCAATTAAAATCCTTGCATTCGAATCGGATTGAATAACAAGACCAATTGATGTTCGAAAAATAAAATCCGACTCGTTTCCTCAGAGCGATACAGGATATATCTTAATATAATAGCGGGAGTCAAGTCAATTTTCCAATGACACTTTTGTGAGTTACGTGCCGGTTTCGAGCTTGTTCAGAATGAGACGTTGAACGAGCGCGGGGAGGGGGACGCCGGGGATAAAAAGGTCGAAACGCCCCGGGGAACCGATAACTACACCCCTCGGTAGCGAATCTTTCCCCTGGGAGAGATTCTCGCGAGGGAAGCACAGTCATAAGACCTCGGGCGGACCAGGACAAAGAAGAAAGATATAGAAAGCGAAAGAGAGGAAAAGAAAGAGAGAAAGAGAGAGAGAGAGGGTACAAATAAAGAATCGGCACTCTCTCTCTGAACGGATTGGATTCGCCCGAGCTCGAGTCACATCCGATTGTGATAGCGGGTTGAAAGCGAATCGAAAGGGAGGTTGAAAGCGGTGATAGCGTCGACGGGTAGCGGAGATCGGAACTTTCGAGACGTGCCGATTGAATTAAGCAGCCACACCTGTCGACTCCAGATATTTTCATTGGTGGCATGCTAATTGCCAATTAAGCTGTACCGATTCATGGTTTCCGCCCGCAATTCCAGCTTCGAATCTGCTTTACATTTCTCTCTTCTAGTCGGAGATAGTCGCGCGCCGAGACTATCGAAGGATGATGTCCGCTCGTCGCGTTTAACTAAACGAATGAAAGCAAGTTGCGGACTGCGAATGCTTTAAATGATAACGCGACGAGCGTTGATAATAAAAATTACGACAATTATAATTTTAGTAATCGTGGAACATTGTAACATGTAAAAGAAATAACGATATTTTTATTCGATTAATATATTAAATATAATACGTATTATCTTTTAAAAGGAATATCATATGCAATTATTCAAATATTTTGCTGCACAAACAAATGCATAATCAAATAATAAAACAAATGCACAATTTACCATTTTTATAATAATCAAAATACCTTAATGTTATATGTATTATATTCCAGCTTTGCAATAAATAAATAAATTGCAAAGAGCAATGTATTTTTCATGTAATTTTTGTAAAATTTCCTCCGTATATTTATTAATTTCCGCGCGCGACATGATATATAATGTCTGTTATAAATATCAAAAAATTCGAATCATATTTACATCACTTCACACGTCAATAATCTTTCGTTCGCGACGTAGTTTTTTATATTAAAATATATGATTAATTTTTTTTTTTTTTCAAAGAGATGCCGGATGTTTGCATTTCAGGATTCTTTATTTCTTTTTTCGAAAAGAGAATGTTATGTTATATATTTTATTTTAGAGAGGAATGTGTGTGCCGGAAAGTTGTTAAATATATAATAGCGAGTTACATAATACTCGTCAAAATATTACGATACTAAAAGCCCTTTCCGCGATCGTTACAAGAACGGACGCGAATCAGCGCGAAAATCTGCCGCCGGGAATATTCGACAACATTATCCGATAATGTACGTATCGTCAAGAACGCATTACTGGCTTTCTGGAGTACATATCTGCTAAACTATATCTGAACGAGGGCAGGGAGACGAGGAACTCGCTCCGCGGGGAATCGCCATTTATTAATCATGACGTAATGAATGAAACGTCAAATCGACGGGAAAGATATGTCATGTGTAATTATGAAAATTAAATTGCTTCCATAAACCGCTGCATTGCGGGCCGGAGGTCATATATTGATTAATTATATAATGCTGATGTATAATTATATGGGAAATGAAACTCTCTCTTTGGTCCGCGTATAATATTAGATCATATCTTGCTTTGACCGTCCCGTTAAATTTTAAGGTCCATAAGTCCATATCACGATGCTGCACGCGCGATGTCGGTTCTATCGACATTTCCTTTAAAATATGAAATGTCGTAGAATATAGGTCGTTCCATTCATCTCAGCTTATATCTCGCCTCGCTTGTATCAATAAGAATATCTAACATTTTATTCGAGATGATCTTGATATTTTTAAAATAAAATCACAAGGTTGTGCGCGATGCGGCTTCCTTGAAATGCAGAACAAATTTCACTCGAGTAATCTAGCGTATTGCGGAAACACCGAATAAGGACCATTTAAAGTTCCGATCTCGTTGAATCGAACAACGCGGATATATTGACACCTTTTTCATCTTTTATTAAGGGACTTGTCCTTCCGTTTCTGCAAATATCTTACGGAGATGCGAGTTTATAGTAATCGCGCGATCTTCCCCGATGCAATTTCCATGCGCGACAAAGTTCATCATCGACTCGGACTCAAATGGAGATGTCTTGACGTCGGACGTTGCGAAACTTTATATGTCGGGATGCCGCTCGAATCGCGATAGTTGAGTACGTACGGAGTGAGAGGGGATCCCGTGAGGCCTCGCATTATTGATAATCCGGAATCGGCGTTGCAACTTCCGGTTACAACTTGGTCTTTGAGAGAGAGAGAGAGAGAGAGAGAGAGAGAGAGAATGAGAGCGCGCACTTTGGAGTTGGCGTTGTCTCCCGGCGTTGTGACACGCGGTCCTAATTAATTTCACGTAGTTCATTAACAACCTCCGGCCGCAATGTTCAACGACGTTTTGGCGTCTCCGTCCCGTATCGCGAGCGTGCTTATTCCCCAAACGAAAACTCCGTTACTGGTTACCATCTACTTAGGAATCTAAAGTAAGGAAGTAACTAACGTACTCTCTCTTCTCTCTCTCTCTTTCTCTCTCTTTATTACTCTTGCCGCGCAATAATTTAATTAAGTATCTTACTTTTTCGCAATGGGAATTTCGAAATGATAATTTTTTTCATCGTAAGAATTCTTCTTATTTAGTAATTACATCCTTTGTCAGACGCGAAACTACGAGTGTGATCGATTGCTACTCGGCAAAAATTTTTATCCAATCGCATCGACGCACCGTTTACATATTTTTTCTTCATTTTTCACCCGCAGATGTTATTTAATAATTCCACCTTCGATTCATTTTGACGTAACGTGAGAAATTTTCTTGGAGATTGCGTCGTTCATTTTCGTCTATTATTTTAAAATATACCTTTTTCCTTCAGTTTCCTCTGAACTCTTTCCACATGGGAGATACGAGCGGTATAATTTACAATACAAGCACTGAACAGCTCTCACGTATTCTTTGTTTCTGTATGAAAAATAAGCGAAACCTCGGAATCCGCGTTGCTTAGAAAAGATTTTTGCCGCGTCGACGGGAGCTTGGAGCTTTTTCGAGGGGACGAATTTCCGACAGATGTTACCTCGGTTGCTTACGCGCTCGCTGTCCCTGCGGGACCTAATATAACTGAAATTAACCATGGGTTGCGGCGCGTCGGATCAGATTTTTCTCTCATTGTTTTTTTATCATTCCGTTTTCGCTCGCCACGTTGCGCCACGTAATTATACCGTGTGAGAGCATTCGGAACTCGATCCTCTCTTTTCCTCCCTCTTTCCGTCCGCAAAATTATTATTTTTTAAATTATATTTATCCGTCTGTCCAATGAACGCGGAACAAAGAAGAGCGCATGTTGCAGTAGTATTCTTTTAATCCTTTTCGATTCTGGCGTATATTCTAATGAACTTTTTAATTAATCAATGTTGTGATATATTTTTAAAGAGAAATATATTTTTAAAAGAGAAAATAATATATCGGATATATTCTTATAATGCTTTTTATTTTTAAATCTGTTATTGCGATATATCATTATTAAATTACGATCTGTACAATATAATATATAGCATACAATGCAATATGTAAGAGTTATTTTATTTTTTATTCGTGTACGTGTATTTTTGAGATTCATTTTTTAAAATACACTACGTGTTAAATTATACATGAGATTTTGTTTGAAACATTATCATCAGTTATATATCATGTAAAGTATAGGCTTTATAGTTATATAATTAAAAAAAGCACAAACTGACAGAAGATTTAAATGGAAAAAATTTTGAAATTGTTGATGATTCAAATAAAAAAATCAAAAAGTTTTCATATAAAGTTATTTGTTTGTTAATTAAAATAAATATAGATGATAAATTCTTATTTGATATCAAGCGGGAATTTGAAATATGTACCAAATTTTTATCGAACCTAAAAAAATTGAATTTTTATCGATTCAAATACAGTTTGCATCTATAATATTGGCATCCTGCGTTATGAATAAAAAACTTTATTAAAAATTCAAATTATGGTTATTGCCGTATGGTAGATATTAAATTAAGAGAAATGTCTCGCACACATACATACACAATGTTGAATATATAAACACAAATTGCAGCGCCATTGAAATTATGGGCTTTGCTATAAATATTCAAACTGTTTTCTGAGAGAGAAATAGAGATAAAAAAAGAAGAGAGATATATTTCATATTTGACGGTTCATGTACTTGTCAGGATGATGGAAAGTGAAGCGAGATAGACGTGCTTAAATTTGCAAGAGACAAAATACTCGAATTAAAAATGTATTTTCCAAATTTCATATGTTTTTTAGCATTTTATAAAAGATAGCTATCACAAAAAAATTGATATTTTCAGTCCACTTTTAAATATTATCCACACAAATTTACATGCAGTCCAAATGAGTGTTATTAAAAAGGCATCTAAAAAATTGTATCTTCTTATGAGATTATATAATAGATTAAGACAATGCGAAATGAGGACACCAAATTATATCATCAGTATGTATTATATTGTGAAAGAAATCTCATCATATCTACTTATACAAATGATATTCATAAAACATTATAATATGATAATTCAGCGTCCACAAAAGAATAATATTCTTCTAAGGATTTTCTTTACAAAAATGATTGATTATTTGAAAAGTTTGTTATTTAGATTTCTCATTGAATATTATCAACAATTTAAATAATAGTTCTTCGGATCTTCAGCGAATCGCGCATAATATATAATATCTAGTAACAGCAGTTTTAAAAAAAATAGTGCAGATCAAAAAGAAACCAAAAAGAAATTCTCTTCAGATTACCTTTTCACGTTTTTAAGTGATAATTATCAATGATGATCACTAAAAAAAGGCGACAATAAATATTTAATATCATCCAAAAACGAAAATTCGTTGTATTACAATGAGACAAATTTTCACTATAACGCTAATTTATTAAAAACTTTAATTTGCAACAATGCGTTTAAATTCGTTGTTAAATTACTATAAACGCTTTGCTTTACTGTAATAATTATCATTTATACACGATACTGAGAAAGAGAGAGAGAGAGATAATATGTATTATTATTCGAGTCTCGATCGATTGTGGATAATTGAAGAAAATTAGCATTTAGCATTTGCATTTCAATTTAAAATTAACATTTGAATAGAATCTATTCGAAATATCTTTCGATAATTCTTGCAAATAATATTTTACTTATATGTCGACCTAAATAATTACATCAGAAAGAAAATATTTAGGACGTTTCTTTCTATTAAATTATTTAATAATGCAATGATTTTTTGGCTATAATAATTTATTTCATATATTATTAGTTTTAATAACTTATTTTTTTATGAACATTTCTGAAAAAGAATTTATGTTACCACAAGTGTGATGACATAATTTTATAATATATTAATGAGAACTTTTCGCAATCATTATTACATTTTAATATAGTTCTTAGAATCTCATAATATACCTTCTAAGGAACGCTATTTGTCATTCTTTACATGTTCGTGTGCAATGTGCATAATGTGCTTAATTGCATACATGCACATCTGTATGCATAATTGCATACATTAATAGGTACACAGAATATCTCTTGTGATACATTCACTATGATTAAATACAAACAAACGATAATGATGTTAATGGTAATGAGTATAATTAGGCGATTTGACTGTCTTTTCCAATTGATCATCAACTATCCATATTGTCGTCATAACCTCTTTGAACATACAATATATAGTAATTTTTATATATAGTAATTTTTATCATCACTATGGCTTGTCGACTTTTTGAACATACAAAGATCTGTGAAAATAATAATCAAGATTAAATTTTCTCAATTTTTTCGTTTTTATGTGTCGAAAATACGATGTAATGAAGATGTTTAAAATTGTCTTATTTCGACACTCGTTAACGGCTGTGTTTTCAGTCCTTTTCGTCTCTTTCTTTATATTATTGTCTGCTATATTGTAACAGCTTGTTTTGCCATTTTATTTCTGTCTAGCCTTCTCTCTTCATTTTGCACCTTCATTATCATTTGCTTGTGAAGCGCGATTGCACGTTTCTCTGCAATGTATAAAACGTGATTATTTGTATGTTTTATAAAAAAAAGAGAATATTTCACACAACGATACTCTAATATAATACGTTTTCTCAGAAATATCGTCTCAAGCTCCTATTAATTGAGTTTCAAGCTTCTCTTTTTCCGTCATTAATTCTCGCTCGAGTTCTCTCTTTCTTTTGTATAATTTCTTTCATTCTTTACTATATTTACACTTGATATATAATTGCAAACTGCTAATCTTTTTGGCTGTACAGAATTTCGGAATCTTGCACGATAGATTTCTATTTCGTTTGCATTATTTTGTTCGATTGATATTTATCAGTCCAGTTCAAAAACGAAAATTTGCAAATTTTCAACGATATTGTTATTTTTTTTTATTTAGATTTAATTCCTTAATCAACCATAATTCTATGAAATAATAATTCATTTCGTGTACAACGAAATTATTTAATAAAGTTTTCAAATTAGTTTTCTATTTTCTTTCAACTGTCTAATTCTTTATATATTAAGATGCATCGAAAATTGTTCAATTCTTGACAAAAATTTCTAGTACTTTTACAAATATTTCAACCAACTGAGCGTCCGTCTAGAATTCGATGATTCCTTCGCCGATGCTTTGATTTTTACCATCAATAAAAACTATACGCGCGCCTGATTTTGCCGGTTACATCAAACGCTTTTTGGAGCAGTTCGTTAGGTATCCAAGAGCTGAAGATTAAAGTTTTTACTTTAATCGCGTGAAAATCGAAATGTATCGAATGAGCTTTTTGTACCATGTTGCTCGCTTTTTGCTGGTTCTATAACAATCTTAGAGTAAATACAGCAAAAAATCACTAGTAATGACAATACAGTTTGTATATAAATTATTAAAAATTTTTCTGCAATCAATTAATTTGTTTCTAACGGGATAATTATTATAATCTTGAATAAAAAACATGTAATTATTGTCTAATTATTATTTATATGTAACTTCTTCGCGACTACCATTTTGGCAATAACGGAAACTATTCACTCGCAGCTTACATCTCGTAACTTGTCCTATTTCCTTAATAGTATCCGTATTTCTTCCTCTGTTGCATCTTGTCAAGTTTCCAATACGCAAACAAACTTTGTCGAGAAAATTTTTCTTATCTGTCACCTGTGGCATCAGTTGAAACGTATGCGTTGGTCTGTCAATAGCATTAAAGAGTATCCATCATTTTTTTATGTATAAATTTAATTAGTGGTTGCATTTTGCTGAAAAAATTAATCATTCCAGAAATATATATAGTATTTTATTCATTTTTTTCGTCTATTTATCTTTTTTTGACTCTCGTTTATGTTAGCGCGAAAAATTATATATTTGATGCGACATATTTTATTTAAAGTATATAATGGAACTCGAAAGATGAGATTTTTATTGAAATAACAAGAATGCAGATTTTGTAAATACTGTACGAAGCATATCATGATTATTAAATATTAATATCGTGCAGCAGAACATGATGTTGTAAAGAGTTAAGGTACGAAACAACTAGATGCAAGGAAAAGACGATAATACAATGATTAGTATTTATCGACATTGTCGATAGCATTACATATTCATAGAGTTAGGAAATTTGGCCTATATATAATAGTTATACGATTAGCATAATGAATAAAACGCGAAGCGACTAACAGAGACAGGTCGGGTTTTGTCAAACTAAACACAAACTTGAGTGAGTTAATGCAAATAACAGAGATTCTAGAGACGCAAATGATTGAATGGAAGCAGCCGTAGCAGTGAATTGGATGCTTTGTATTCAGATGCTAAGTACAAAATTAAATATTAAAATCAAGTCACTTATCGGACCATAATGATGATAAATAATGAATATCAATTAAACGCAATTAACGTAATTACACGAATAAAAGCAACCATTTTGAGATTTTTGTTCTTTATTTCAATAATCGGGATAAATTATAATTCAACAATTATTTTATTGCTAAAGATTTGTTTAATGATATAAGCTTTTATTAAAAATGTGCAGTAAAAATGAAAAAACATATTATTTTTAAGAGAAGAGTCAACATTACAAGAATATTAATCAATTCATATCGCGCGTGAAGCTGATCGAAGCGACTCATCTCTCGCACTCGCTTCCGCATCACGTCGAGCTGTGCGATGTGAATAACTTTCCGTCGTGAGAAATTGCGAGACGCATTTTCAAGAGATCGTCTCGGGCGGTGCATTCCTAGTTCCTTAATAGAATATAGCAGTTGCCAACTAGGACTTCCGCCTGAGCGAAAACGCACATACTCCATGCTAACGCGTGTGCTAATTCAACGTCGACTATCTCGAGTCGAAGCCTCTCGCATAAGTGTTCCGACCTCAACTGTTTGAATTTGCTGTTTGCATTGATTGGCAAACAAAGAGTTTCGCAAGCAGATACACAATAGGAATGATAGGATAGATGCAACGGATGAATATAACGGCTGAGAAAGGAAATTTCTCAAAATTCACTCATTCTTTTTAGTGTTTAATTAGTTTATATAATCTTGTTATATCGCGACATATCCAGACATATCTATCTTATTTATTTTATTAATGCGCTCATTTGTAAGATTGATTTATGCACGAACGCTTTACGGATGCATGTCGCAAAGTGTCGCGGTCCCGGATCGCGCGATTTATGGAGCGAACAAATCGACGTAATAGATAAGGAAGATAATTTCACGATTTCATCTGGTCCGCAGGAGGAAAGATCGGAGAATCGAACCGTCAGCACGGTGGAGTTCGAGCCGGGTGTGGAGGATCATGGGAAATCTATCACCTGCCGGGCGGAGAATCCAAACGTGACCGGACTCTACGTCGAGAAGTCCTGGAAGATCGACGTCGTGTGTGAGTACACGTTACATTTTTCCTTAACGTTCCAATTTCTCGCGGACCGTAAACTCGCTCACGACTGACAGATCGCGAAACTGATCGCGGTAAATCGAATACGACAACATGACGAATAGTACGTTACGGTGTTTATCGATCGCCAATCGTTCTCTCTCTCTTTTTCGGCTTTATCCATTTCTGCAGACTCGCGCGCGTATAACGCGCGTCGTAAAAGAGAAAGGAAAGGAAAAAAAATTGCCCGATAAACACCATCTTCTCATCTTCATTCGAATCCCGCCGAATCGGCCGATTTTACGAGCATCTTTTCATCCGCGTACATTTCCGTACACATCCTTTTCCTTTTGTATCCCGGAATGAGCCTTTCTCCCCCTTTTTACAACGTCAATAAAAGGATCGGTGAGATTGTCCATAAATTAGAATCGAAATCCAATCGTCAGAACTCTCGATCTCGAGATTGTCATAAAAGGGAACTGTACAAAAAAAAAAAAAAACACAGAGTAATAGTTGACAAGAGTAAATGGAATCATTGATGTGATCAATTCATCATTGATCATTTTAACTATAAATTTGTCCGTGATTATTAGCCGTGTTTAGTATCTATATTTTCAATCAGGTAGCTTTCAATTATGACATTCGACATCATTTTTCTTCTATTTCCTTCCCGCAATTTCCGTGATCTTGAAATCGTTAAATGTGACGTCCGTTCCAACGCATTTGATTATTATGACCGAAGTGGAAATGCTTTCTTCGCGATGAGCACGTAACCGTGATGTAGAAGGAAAATGATGAGCGCGGTTTTGCACTTGTGTGCGAGTGTGTCGAGCGAGACATCGCGCGCCGTCAATTTTACCGGACGTCTGTGAAATTTATCACGCACAGCCACGCTCATCCGGCCTCGTAAAACTTTACGTTCGACTTATATCGAGAGTTATGACACGCTTCTCGGCGCATATTAACCCTCGAAAAGCGAACGATGTGACAGCCACGCGCGCAGCGGATCTCGGGTCAATCTTGACTCCCGTAGCAAAAAAATGTTCTTTATACATATTTCATAATAAAATTTTATATTGGGTTTCACAATTCTGTATTATATTTTATTTTTTTTATCAAGAAATGCATGTAATAATTTACAAAAAATATATTTTTTAAATAAAAATAAATGATATATTTTTTCTAATTTTATACACATGAAATATTTCTTTCTATTATTGCAAGAGTTTTATAAAATTGTTTGAAGATCCGCCGGCGAGAGATTAAAATGAAATGAGACATCCGAGAAATTGAAAGAATAATTAATTAAATCTATAATATTCTATCGTATCTATCGCTTTGAAAATCATCAACGCGAACATTTCGCATTTGATTACATTTGATCCCTTGATAATGCGAATTATATGTTTCTGAAATTATTTTACATCGCTTCGCTAAATCTATCTCGATGCAACGCGATCGACGATGATACTTAACAAGCATTTTAAATTTCATACAAGTCGTAAAAAGCTCGTTTTTGCTTTTATTGTATAGTTTGGAAGAAGCAATAATAACGAACGCTTTTACTGTTGTGCTATTATCATGCGGGCATAAGACAGACTTTATACGTGCAAACGGGTCCTTTTGAATCGCAAACAAACCGTCACAAACCATCGCTCGTGATAAAACGGTTTAAACGTTCAACACATTGCTCGACGACGTAATCTCGAAAGTTTTCCCGCACGAACATCATCCGTCTTTAATCTACGCTGGGGAAATCTCTCGTAGCATCTCTAATGTTGTAGTAGATTAATAGCGTTTTAATGTTTACAAATATTGAATTATAATATATCAATTTCTCGCGAAAAAAAAGAGTTAACTAAATAAAGAATTTAGCGCAGTTACCCACTTTTTCTTAAAAAATTGAGAAAAAATTAATTTGAATTTTTATTATATGTTTAACACAAATTTATCTGTCCTAATTATTAATCTTAAATTTAATTTCCTCGACTTTACAATTATTTCTCGGATGTTCTTCTCTCTCGAAATGAATTAGCAATGCAGGCACAGTGAATCCAATGTTTTTAAAGAAAATAACTGTACGCTAACACGATGCAAATTTATATTCGCAAACGCGCACAGAAAGGACTGCTTTGATAGAATAAAGACCGACTCTCTCATCTCGATTTGCGCAAGACAATCGTGTGTTTATTTTAATTTTATAATGCGTATAATGGAAAAAAGCGAGAGTCACGCGCGCTTGGATACACAGATAAAAAGAACATTCTTATTTTGAAAATATATTTAGTTTTAACATGGAAATCTTGAAATGAGATTATATCGCGTTAATTTAAGAGAAATATAATTACTTGAATAATTGCTTACTTGAAGCTATTTTACATGGTTCAATCGAGAATAATATATTCTCATGATTTAAGATTTAATTTTCTTGAATGAAAAAGAAGCAATGTTGGATAGAAAATAACATTTTTAAATCAAATATAATAATTTTCTTAAAGTAGAATTGAATAATTATATATTCTTGAGGTGACAATTACAATATTAAAATAAGACGATAATATTGAAATTTAAAATAATTAAATTCTCCTAAGAAGATTATAAATTATTGCGTATATACAAAATAATGAACGCGTTAGTTTAAGTATATAAGTTTTGATTTGACACTTATTTTTTTTCTGTGTATTTTTTTAAATTTTGCACAGGCGCGTGCGTTACTTCGACAGCGAAAAATTTCTCGATTCCGGTACTGTTTATCGTTTGTTCTCATCTGTCCGGTCGTACCTGCACGTCCGACAAAAATATAGTCGACCCTGGGAAACGTACGTAAGGAGAGCGCGAACGCGGAATTCGCGAAACGAGAAAAACTGCAGAATACGGGAAATGATGTCGTGTCACGTATTCGATTACGTTGACCGATCCATGAGATTCGAAATTGTGCCACTCACCTAAGACGTAGACTGTCGACCCCTCGTCATCATCGTCCCGCGTTATTTATCGAAGTAACGAAAGGGAAAATGAAATCTCTTTTTTTGGAGTACTTTCTTTCTTTAATCCTTTTTCATATTAACGAACTTTGTCGTGATTTACAAAGGGAATGTGCTATTGGACGGTAGCTCACTACGGTAGGGTTAAGTTCAGAAGGGTTGATGATAAGACCGGGAGATAAACCGACGTGATCAAGCTAATTAATACTATTTCGCGCGAGTAATGTGGTCCCAGGAAAAGAAAAGTCAACTTAGAAAGGCAGGGGATTTATTGCGATGAACGATAAGGTTCTGTTCTGAGAAAATACGTCGGGAAAGTAAATGGAAAAAGTCGAGAGGGAGAAAGAGAGAGGGAGAGAAAAGAGAGAAGGATCGGAGGTACTCGGTATGATTAAACTAATGTGCACGCAGTAAACGTCAGATACGAGAAGCAAATAAAGGGCTCGATCGTTGAGAGCCATTCGTAGCTGTGCTACGAGTAACATCTACGAGCTACCGTGGAAACGGGTGCGAGATATTATTGAGAGTCCCACGGGCAGGAAAAATATCGGCGCTAATGGAGGCTGAAGATTATGCCACAGACGTAACTATATCGACAGAAATCGAGATATTGCGCTACGAGTCCGGTAATGAAAATGGCGATTATGGCCACTTTTATCGTGGTATTTACGATACCACGTATATCTTATCACGAAAGTCCGAATAAACAAAGTTTATCGTTTTTATTTATCCGTATTTATTTCATTTTCTATTCTCTAATAAATTTATAAATTTATTATTGTATTATATGATTATAATATTGTAAAAATGAAATATGTTAATATCATACAATAATTATTAATATTTTATTTTTTATAAAATTTTAATGCTAATGTTGTCATTATTTTGATAAAATTAGAAAAATGATGAAAGATAGAAAAATGGTGAAAAATAGAAAGATAAAAAGATTGATACAGCAAAGTGTATGTAATCTTAAGATGTCATCAGCTAATGTACAATGTAGGAAGATTTTAATGTTTTATATTTGCAGATCCGCCGATAGTATCGTTAAACCTCGGATCAACTTTAAGCCCAGAGGACATTAAAGAAGGGGATGACGTGTACTTTGAGTGCCACATTAGAGCCAATCCTCCTTGGTCCAAGCTCGTCTGGATACATGACGTAAGAATATTTAAATATTTCTTGACATATATTATCTTCTTTCGTGCGACAATGTAACAATTAAAAATGCGCATACAATGCTACGTAAATTTTATGCAATATCATTACTATACGAGAAGACTTACATAACGATTTCATCGATATGCGTAATGTATATTGAGTGAAACTTTAAATTTTTATTTGCATGCTATGCAAATACAATTGTCACGCGATGCGAGAATAAGAGATATTATGGCGTCGAAATATATTTTTGTAACAAAAATCTCTACCGTGAATTTTGTCTATTGTGCTCAAATTCTCGCAGAACCTAATAATTTTATAATTTCTCATTTCACAATAACACATTACGAATTTATAATATATATTTTCATTGCATTATCAGTCAATATAATTTTTTTGAAATAATACGATAACAGATCAATAGTAAAGATTTAAGAATGAGAACAATCATTTCTCTTTTTGACGCTGTAAATATATAATACGATTCCGACTTTTAAAATTGCTTCATCAAGTTTTAATTTTGAGAAATTTGTAATGAAAATAAAGCAAAAACGGATTATATTAATATATGTATTTTATCATGTTATAACTACGGAATATGTGACATGTCAGAGAAGTTTCGTTGTTATTAAAGTTACATCATGTCTTGTTAGAACTTTCAAACAGTTCTCAGAAGGAATTTATTATATCATTTATGATTAATAAAATATTCGTTGTTAAATATAAAGTTTATTGTAGCAGAAGTTAATCATTGAAAATCCATTAAATAATTTGTAGCTTTTAAACTTGAGAATTTTTTAAGCTATTGAATATACAAATCCAATATCAAAATTGACATTAAAATCAATCGAAATTAATATGACAAATGATTGATGATTAAATTAAAAATGATTGCACAAATTTATGTACATATTTGATAGATTTTTAATAATTTAATTTTCTCGTAATTTTCTTTCTTGCAATGGGCTTTATATTTAACTATAAAAATCTCATTAACCTTAATCCTGTAACAAATTTCCTTTGAGATCTGAAAGTTCTAATAATATAGTTAACTTGTTCAACACATTACATATCGTAATTGTAACATGATATAATACATTAAAATAGTATCTTTTTCAAATTTTAATCAAAAGTTTCTTAAAAACGATGGAGCAAACCGGAATAGTATTTAGCATAAAAAAATTATAGAAAACAATTATTTTTTTCTGAAAAAAAGTTATTTTGTTAAATTTTGTTATTTTGTTAAATTGTGTAATCAATTAAATTACACAATTACATTTTGTTAAATTTTGTTATTTTGTTAAATTGTGTAATCAATGAAAATATACACCATTTTATGAATTTTATAAAATATCGAAACATAAAATCAACCGTACTAAATTAAATACGATTCACGGAAATCATCTTTCGTCCGTTCTTAGAGAAAATAAAAAGGATGTTACGAGCATAAAGCGGAATATCAAGACGTAACCAATGTTAGTCCCAGCTCATACGAAGTAGTTGCCTCCTGAGACTGCCTGCCTGCTTATTCTAGGCAGCGCCGCTACTTGAATTTCGAAACGCTACTCTGCTGTCGCGCATTGTGTATACACCTATCTACCTTACCTTAGTACGCGGCAATTGCAACGGAGTCGGAAGTTAAAGGAACGCTCCCAAGGCGTATTCGAGACGAGAGACTATCAGCGACAAACTTTGCCAGGGTGTATCGGTGGCAGCCACGACCGTGCACTTCCTGAATTCTAATCGTTCCAATCACGGGGGCTGCAAAATCGCGCATATACGCGATACGACACGCCGATTACGAATGGCCGTGCATTGATAATTTTCCGACATGTCGTGTCTCGATAACTTCCGCCGACGACGACGACGCGGACGGGGACGCGTTAACGAAATGTAGAATTCGATTACACCCGAGCAAAGTTCAATCTCTCCCCAAACGCGGTCGATTACGCGATTACGAACGGCTGCGCATTAATCTTGCCTTGACATCGGAGGGGCTTCTCTTAACTTTCTAAACTCTCTCAAACAATATAAGGATATTCTCCCTTTCGAACAGTTCTATACAAACTTTGCAAAGATTATTATTTTATTGCGTGTTGACGACAAATGAGATGTACGACGGTGATCTGAATAGGATACCATTCACAGATGCAGTTTAAGTTACGGAATGATACGATTAAAATAATTATTTTCATCAGGATCCTTTAATAATTTCCGCGATCATACATGATAGAAATTAAAAGTATTTTTTAAAGAATTACATGAAAATTTTATGAATAATAATAATTTATATATTTCTAATTATATTTATAAATAATTGGGTGATTAATATATTTATTAAGAATTAATAAATATATTAATAATAAATATATTTATTAAATATATTTATTAAGAAATGTATTATATACTTTGAACAATCATAAAATTCTTGTTTTTCTTTCTCTTTTTTGTTTATTTTAAATCGGCCTTGTTTGTTAAAATTTGATAACAATTTTACAATTTTGTCTAAAATTGTTTGCATTTTTTGAGTTATTAAGAAAAGAAAATAACATACGTACTTTCTTGGATCTTAAAGTAACAATCCAATAGCTGGTGAAAAATTGCGGAGTACGTAATTATATTACCATCGGTTAGCCGGAAATCTCCGTAGGGATGCGCGGCGATGATGCATTAGACTTTTCCGGGATCAGCCCAGCCTCATATCCCTTTCGTGTTCCGTCGCTCACTTTAACCCGGCTCATCCCCCCTCCCCCTCGCTTCCTTTCGTCTTTTCGTTTCGTCGCTACGGCGACCTTTCGCCGTAGGATATACGTCGCGAAGGGCTGCAGGAAACGGGCTAACGGTGGGCGAGCAGCTGCTACCGCGTAAGAGATTTCCCTCGAAATTGCATCTTAAAAATATGATCCGACTTCATTCCGGAGGGAGAGCATCCGACTATCACGCAGTGTCGTCCCCATTCCTCTCCCCTTCCCCCGGCGTCTTTCCCTTCCGCGCGACTTCGTTTCCTCGCTCGCGGATAGCCTCCCGAGTCGAGCTTCGCTTACGAGCAAAACGATCCGCTCTTCTGGCTCACTAAGCTCCTCTCGTGGTCTTTGTACGTGCCTTTAAACGACGGATGGATTACCCAACTGAACTCGATTCGCGCCATTATCGATGAAAAAGTGGATTTTAAAAAACTATGCGCGACCACCGCGAAATTCCTCAATGATTTGATCAAAGTTCCGTAACGAAAGACGGGATATTTCTTGGGACATTTAAGTGAAATGAACATCCAAGTTAATTTGTTTGACAGAAAATATCATTTTATTGAAATGATTTTTTTTTATATTACAAACTTACTTTTTTTCTAAATGAAAAATTATACATGTTTCTTGGTATATTATGTAAACACGTGTCGGATAATCAAACGTCGCAACAGGAGAAATACATTGATCAATTTTCTCATTTTCCTCTTCTCATTGATTCGCGTATCTGTCGATTCTCAAACACTCTCACCTTTGGGCGTGTCATTGGAATGAATTTTCACGTTTCGCATTCGGTACACCAGAAACGTTTCATTCGGCAGCGCCCCGGTCCCTTTCATTCATCCGGAAAGGTTTGCTTAGGAATTACAAGGGTCGTTGACACGTTCTATCTGCCAATCAATCCCGAGCTGGCAATCGAGTTTAGCGCCACCCGAGTCTTAGAAAAGCATTTCGGGCTGCTCTAGCAGCAGTAACCTTTCGAGTGGCAATCGTAAAGAGGGAGAAGTCATGAACGAACGAAAGTCTGAGAAGAGGAGAAGGAGAGGAAACGAGCGAGAGAGGAATCGTAGAAAGGAATTCAAAAAGTGAGAAAGAAATGAGGAATAAGATGAAAGAGGAACGAGAGGAATAAGAAGAAAAGGGGAAAGAAATCGAGAAGGCGAAAAAGAAATGGGAGGTGGCCGACATAATGGAGTGCAGTGATTAAGTCGGTTCTATCGTTCACGGGGACAATAGAGAAATTCTGTATCTACCTGCAGCATCGACGAGCCAATCGGCCGGCCCGGGTTTAAACGAAAGAGGGAGCATGAAAGGATTCTCTCAACTCTTCATCTTTTCTCGCAGAGTGGATTGACCGAACGGACTGCCGGAAGGGCCTCCATTAATACCGTTGCCCTCGCGGACACGCAGAAAGATTGAGAATTTATCTCGACCTCTCCCCTTTTCGCGCCTACCCTTTTCATTTCCTTATGAAAAGACAGTTTGACTCGCTCGAATTTATCCTACATAGAAAGTCTCGCAATTGAAAATGTATACATAAAACGTAATTCCCTCTGATAGAATCCAAAGCTTCGAGGCATCAAGGCATCTTGGATTTATAAAACGGTTGAAAACGAAACATTTTTCCATGCTTTATTATGAATACTGGCGAATGAATCTTGCCAATGCAAAAATGGCGATATCGATTAAACTTGAGAAACTCCATGTCGCCTCGCCGCTACTCGACGTACTCATATCGACGTCCTGGCTTTTGTACACCGATTGGATCGCACGAGCGCGTTGAGGATAACGGCTTTCTCACGAATCGACCGAATGCATTTCCCTCTCACGCGAGATCCAGTTCGACGAGTTTGGATCTTAATGCAACGTGGGGTGTGAGAGGGATCGAAAGATATTTGTGTGTGTGTGTGTGCGTGTGTTTGTGTCTGTGTATGTGGGTCGATGATTCCCGAGGAAGTGGATGCTAGCGTCGAATTTGGCGGGCCGTACATCAATCAATTTCACTACCATCGCGATCAAGGCGCGTCGGAATTCCCTCTAACAATAAGAGCGACTCCTCGGGACGGGACACGAAGGGGGAAAGGAGAGGTACGGATTCGTTTCGTACGATTTCGATCTCGCAATTTTTCGTTGAGAGAGATAAGACGATCCGGCGGGGAATCAAGAACGATAACCGATCGCGTAGTCACCTACGGTCTTTGCCTGGCGCCTCCTAAAACGAGCCCGATAGTCGGCAACTTTTTGAACAGCTGTTCA